TTTCAAGTAGGCATGCTCAATTTAATGAAAAGCGTAAAACATTTCACTTCAAATCAGTCATACTTGTGTAAAACGGGTTTAGTCCCGCCACCACTTCAAAAACAAAACAAAACATGCTTTTAAAATCAAAGGGCGTTACCATAATTTACTTACCTCACTCGCATAAAACCGAGCACTCAATTCACGCACTAACTGACAGAACGATCAAGAACCTAATCAAAACATCCAAGAATTAATATCGAACTATCACAAATTCAAGCTAAACTCATCATTAGGATCATTCCTAATCACAATGCTATTTCTATCACTTTCCACATGATCAAATATCTTCAAATCTGTTCTTATATCACAAACTAATCATTTAAATTCCCGTTAAATGTTGGCCCTCGGGGTGTGAACAGTGTCGGTGAACAGTGCTGGTGAACAGTACCCCGACATGAACAGTAACCCCGACTTCTAAAATTGGCCAAAACACTAATTAATCTCACGGGATTTTCTCTCCAAAAATCACAACAAGCAATTAACTCAAGCAATTTACACTTAAACCAAGCTTAAAAACATAGCTTAAGCTATCAAAATTCATCCCCAATTTTTGCAAACTTTCGGACATCACAGGGGCAGCCAATCCATGGACAAAATTCAACAATTAAAGGGGTAAGTTAGGACTTAGAGAAGCTGCCACATACTAGAATCCAGCAAGCAAAACCGGAGCTGCAGGGGGAAGAAGAAGCCGGTGGCAAATCTGCAGGGAACTCACGGGTTTCCCAAAAATTGGAGGAACAAGAGCAATTAAGGTTAACCCAAGTTAATTCAAGCAAGAACAGAGGGATTGGTAGCTGTTTCTTACCCAAAACCCAAGCAATTCGCCCCCCACAAGCAGGAGCAGCCGGCGGTGAGGAAGGAAGAACAGAGCAGATCCGGATTTCCAGCAAGGGGGGGGAGAATTTCTGGGTTCCAAATCAGGTTCTAGAACAAGAAAGGAAGGAGAAATTCGAAGCTTTCTCACCAATTTTTCAAAGCTGGTGCCGGCGGCTTGGAAGGGGGGATTTTGGGGGCTGCAGCGAGAAGAAGAAGAGCAGAATCGGGAAATGGCTAGGGAAGAAAAGAAGGAAAAAGAAAAAGAAAAGAAACTAATCCTTATCCAATTATTTTCCCTCTTTAAATCCCTCAACTTTCAGAATATTTACATTAGGCCCCAAAACAATACTTCCCTCACAAGTTAGTCCTTAATTTACACTTAAATATTCCCGAAAATTTGGGATATTACAATCCCCACCTTTAGTAATGTACTTCTTGTTGCTGAAAATAACTTTCAGTAACATACTCCATGTTGCTGATATTTTCCGGTGAGTCCCTAGCATTTAAATTGAGCTATATTTTTCAGCAACATGTTCCTTGTTGCTGAAAGTGAATTTCAGCAACAAGAGCTATGTTGCTGAAAACCTTAAGTATTAGCAACATATATCTTGTTGCTGTTATTCTTATCTTTTTACCAACTAAACATTAGCAACAAAGAACATGTTGCTGATATTCTTTGATCGGTGGTTGGCCAAATCTATATATATATATATATACAAGCCGTCTGCAAGAAGGGGGAGTACCACCACTTACACTTTCAGCAACAAGGGATATGTTGCTGAAAGTGAATTTCAGCAACATGCCCCTCGTTGCTAACATTTTCCAGTCACCATACCATCCATTCCACTTTCAGCAACATGGTTCTTGTTGCTAAAAGTGAATTTCAGCAACAATAACCATGTTGCTGAAAATCCTTTGACCGGTAGCTCACCCATTATATATACACCTTTTCATTGACAATATATACACACCTCTCACACTTCTCAATTTCTTGTCATTTCTCCCTTACTCTTGCAATTTATTTTTTTTATCCTCACATAATTATTTCTATATTATAATTTAAAAGTAATAATTTTTATAAATTTCAAAACTCTTTTTTGTGTTGTTTAATGGGGAGTCAAAAATATTTTGACAACCAATTGGAAAGTCAAGATTATTTTGACAATCAATTGGAAAGTCAAGATTATTTTGACAATCAATTGGAAAGTCAAGATTATTTTGACA